ACCGACTACAGCTTCTTCCACATCAGGGTTTTCCGGCGTCATTCAATGCAGCTGTGAATCACCCCTTTACAGTTTCATAGTTCTGAAGTTGAATCCTTGCCACCGGCAGACAAGCACACAGGGCGGGAAAAATCTCTCTCCGATAATGCGTCTTATGATTTAAGCAAAAATGCACAAAAGTCGGCGACACAGAACTATGTACTCCATCCTCTTGATATACTGGTGTGAAGTACTCCAAGGTTTTGGATTTTAAAAGAGACGTATAAAACTCTATTCCACGTGTCTTTAATCGTCAGTATGATGAAACTGTATTAACACTTTTAAGCTTGCACTTTTCAGGGTTGGCGTTGGCGACGGGCCGTGGAATATGATGACTCGATTTGATGAGACACTCCCAAAGCGGATGTTCGACAATTTCCATTTTGTTGATTTTCATAAAGTGAGCTTAATTTTGAGCGATTAAGCAAAATTATGAACTGGAGTCTCATATAAATTAAATCTGTTGAGAAAGTGAGATTTCGGATCAGAAATTGGTTATCGATAATGTTGGTTATCTTAAAACTGTCGCTTCTCCAAACAGCTTACTTTTAAACCACCTCCCAAGGAAAGCAACCACTGAAGCATTGTTATCGCTTGCTACTGGTGTTTGCTGCCGTTTGGGCTGCTTCCTCATGTCGCTATCTCTCACAGAAAGTGAATATCGGAGGTGAAGGGAGGGGGCAAAGGAGAGAACTGGTAATTTTTTTTAACCGGCGCCTGGAATGCAGAGGCGGGGGCAGTCAGAAGTAGCCTTTTGGTAGTAAATGTTAGCAGAGTGAATACGGAAGGGGTTTTGAATTTTTGGCTTGACTGGGAATACGTTTTTTAATTTCAGGTGATGTTTAATGTACCAAACCAGGAAGCGTCATTTGCACTGAACGCACTTATGGAAATCCCGGACCAGTATAAGGCAATCAAGGAACTTGGCTTATTAAAGCATTCCCGACGTGGATAACTGCTGTGTATACCATCTGCCACTTGATTTCACTTACTTTGCACTGAAATGAATCAAAAAAATGCAGAGTTTTTAAAGTAGTCGAATTCCTCGTAGATTTCCAACTGCTGTCCTCGACGAAACGAGGGGAACGCTATTCACAACAAATATTCAGCCATTTGAATCCTTACCGAGTTTC